TGACGTACTCATCGATTGCCCAGGGTACGCCAGGTGTACAGAGGATATGAATAGTGGGCAATTGCGATGAGGCTCCTTTTGGTGCACTCCGTAATATGTACATAATGCAAAAAATAATTTAGACGACGCCACTACAATGCATGTTTTACAGGGTCGACTGATTATGTTTTACACGCTATAAACAAATGGAACACAAATCAAGTTTTTGCGTTTTCGCGATTGCCACACATCTCATAACACTATTTTTAACTGACTTCAAAAACCAGGAGGGTCTCAATTCGACTGTATTTTTTATAAATATTTTTTGTGTGTGTATTACGCGATTACTTCAACTGATTTCAATGATTACTTTGTTTGAAAAAAATATTTATATCAATAATGATACCACTTAAAGTTGAAGAAAATATTCCACCCCTAAGAGTGGTTACAGACGGCGACTTTTGGCAGCGTTGCAAACGTGCATTCGTGAAATGCGCGACTACATCGATACAATCGCCTATGAATGCCATATGTAGCGATACAATCGCGCGTTTGTATCGATGCAGTCGTGCACTTGCATCGCGTTTACATCGTTGCTAAAAATCACCGTGTGTAACCGCTCTTATGGCAAATTAGGGCATGAATCCGATTTACTCAATTTTACCTGCTTTCTACTAAGCGATTTCAATAACACTTAGGACATATGTAATTCCAATGAACATAAAATGTTATGCTAACCTAGAGTTGTTCTGATGATGGAAATGGCAGACAGATGAGAGGAACTCCTCAACAATGTACAACAGCTACCTTGTATTTGGGCTCATATGATTCATTTTGATGACGACTTCCATATGCGTTTTAGTTTAGTTGAGGATAGTTGAACAGACCGCGATAACGAACACAGCGAAAGTGGGTAAGTAAACTTTTGAGCTGTTTTTGTAATAAAAAAATTATAATGATTATCGGACCGAAGTCGAAAATCATGCCCTCGTCGGTACAATAAAACCACATGTGATCACAAGTGAAGAGTAAAGAAAAAGACAATAATACGAACTACATGACATAAATTACGTGAATGTGTGTCAAGTGACGCGGACGGGACGAAGAAGTCGTGCGCCTGATGGTAAGATACACGCCTGTCCATAACAGTTATAGTGCCATTCTGATCATTAAATATGCAAATACTTGAGGGCCACTACCACTACGCCCGTCACCCTGAGACGTAAGTTGACAAGTCCCATGCGCATGTAATATCATCAGTACCCTTATCCTTCAAAACCGGAACACAGTAATGCTGACATTACTGCTTGGCGGCAGAAATAAGTAAGGTTAAGATTAAATTAAATAGGTTAAGGGTAAGGTAGTACTTCCCTGGACGATTTTTCAACGACTTTTAAGTCGTAGCGCCATCTATAAGAAATCTATGAAAGTTTTAGAGTTAGATACCTTTACAGCTACCAGCCCTGGCCGGAAATTTTTGGTTTGTTTGAAAAAACAAATGTATTCGATTTAGATGTGAAAAAACAGTTTCATTTCAAATTGAAGACAATTTTACGCTTTGTACTTTCGACCGTCTTGAAGTAAGAGACAGAGCTGAATTTAAATACTAAGTCCAAAGGTATATGCCGTTGTCCATGCGAGCACTGTATAAAATGTCACATCATTTATCTTGCGGTTTTAGCTTAACGTTTTTGAAGGAAGTGCGCAGCTCTGCTGGCTTTAAGGTTCTTTATACCAAGCGGAGTGGACAAAACCTATGTTTTCAACAACTAATTGTTATTCGTGAATTTGCTATCTCCACGTCGAAGTGCTTTTTGGTCTTGAATCTGTTGGTTTGCAAAACTCTATTTTGAAAGACTAAAATCCTAAGTATTTGAATTTAGTAGCAGTAGAGCTCCTTGTGAAAGAGTTTGTCCAGAGAAGTACCTATTTCTGCCGCCAAGCTGTAGTGTTAGCATTAGTGCGTTTCGGTTTTGAAGGGTAAGAGTGCTGGTGAAATTACAACTTTTCATATTGACAATTTGTCAACTTACGTCTCGGGGTGCAAAGATGTGAGGAGCAATGCCACTGCGCCCGTGCAGTGGCATTGCTCCTCACATCTTTGCAATTTAAAGCTCTGAGTGGCACTGCAACTTTTATGGACAGGCGCATGACTTGTTTGTCCTGTCACAATTCGACAACGACCGATCGCCGATCCCTATAAATCTGTTGTAATTTTGACATCGCTTCCATAACATAATAAAAGTCATAGATATAAGTTAAAAAATAAAAATTGAGGTATATCTTTCTGTGAATTTACATGTCGTTAACATCATCATTATCAACCCATTTATACGTCCCATAGCTGGGCACTGGTTTTCTGGACTTAGACTATACTCCGCCATTCTGGCTCAATGCAGGTTGGGGACCTCACACGTTTTTCGAGGGTTGTGAACCTTCTTCGACGTGCAGGTTTCATCACAATGTTTTCCTTCATCAAAAAGTTCATGATAAATTTCAAATTAAATTTCGCACATAAATTCCGAAAAACTCAGAGGTGCGAGTCTGGATTCAAACCCACGACCTCTATGTAAAGCTGTAGGTAAATCTACTACCACGGCTTCTATTATTAAAATAATAGTTTATAAATTATTATTTTAATGATTTATGTGTATGTAATGACAATATTTCACATTAAAACTAATATTTAAAACTCAGCGTACAATAACAATAATTCAGTTTCCTGAACATTATAATTTTAAAAATACACACATACATGGAAGGCAACATTTTCATTTAACATCCATAACAAAATATAGAAACACGTCACTTTCTGTTATTTTGTTCTATATTTAAACATACTATAATACTTCAGAGTACGTCAGCATTCGGTCGAGTTTTGGAAATATTCACGTTCAATTTTGGTGTTATTTTACTAACTTTCGTTTTGATTTGTTTTATTAGTTTGCTTTGTGATTTTTGCCAAAAATAAAATTGGTGACTATGATATGATTTTGAAAGTGAAGGTTCTGCTTAATAATTAACATACAAGTACGTTAAGTTTTTTATTATTATAATCTTTGAAAAAATAAGGGCAAATATTCACTAAACATCTTTTGTTAACATAAAACTAATTAAAAGTTTAAAATCCCAGAGGTCTTGTATAGCTCAAGGTGACTTCTACCACATACGCTAACGACAACATACGTTTCACACGTTACTAGGCATAGAAACATTGGAGAGTATCGCTTTCACAAATAGGGTCAACTATAATAGGAAAGGCTGAATGATCGCTATTGACATGCTAAATGGCACTTAGTATATTTGTACTTTGGCAATAGTACACTGATCAAGAGACATAACTCCTCAAATAAAACCGCATTGTAAAATAATTCAAACAGATTGCACCATGTAGTCTCATTTTTATTAAAACGCCCCTAAATTTACATTAAATTAACATCTTCATACTGAATACGTTGATAAATAAAGGCATACAAGGCTCCAAGAGGATTTATGTGTGACTTTCTGTCAGGGGCGTAATGGGACGAGAAATAACGCGACGTAATGTTTCAACATTTATTCGCATTCGTCCTGAGATACACGGGCTTGTTTTGTTTCTTCCGGCTTTGCTTTTTGCATGCATAAAAATAATCACACTCGTATGTATACAATATGGTTTACATACAATTGTATACAGACCACAATACCGCAATACTGTGTGGAACTATAGGGAAAAATGGTTGGGGCAACCTTTGGACGGGAGGCCCTGGTTTTTGCGAGCTTGTCAACCTGTATTTGCTCGTCCCTTACAACACTTAAGACGCTTGAATTACTTCATTCGTTTAAATATACGCCCATTTATTCTTGGTACTTTAGACTATAATAGACGATAGTAATAACTATTCGAAATCTGGTGGACCTGTCCGGACGCAATAGAATTTGACCGTTAATGGTTGAAAAACCCTAATTCATTAGTCTCATTCATTCGCAATGAAAGTAGAGCGGCGAAAGGGATATGAAGAACCAACATGGAAGGCAACATTGGAAGTGGACGCACATGAAGGATGTTTTCAGATCAAATCAAGAATGTTCTTGAAAGGGCTCAAGTGTATTAAGAAGAAAAGGAAATATATGAAAAGACTGAAGAATGCTAGTCAAGCAAGATATGTTAGTCAGGGTAGCGTGAAAGCGATGTCTCTATCTACCCCAATGAGAATTCAACGACGTGACTATACATGGTCTCAATGTTACTTTTAACATAAAGATAAAATGTGAAATTCAAGTGTGAACCGTGAAGCGCGAGTCCGACCCACTCTCGTTCTCTGTGTGTTTCAATAGAGAGTGTTTAACTAGAAAAAATCCTTGTTCTATGAATACCTAAGAAATTAACAATTAAAAAGATCGTTTCCCAAAAAACAAGGGATGCAAAACATATGTAGTTCAAAAAGTAATGGTACGTATTAACGTACTTATATACCTGTATACCGGAACACGCAGGGTTATATACCAGGTGAACCGTTAAATGAGACTTTTTTGATAATTAGCATTCCGAAAAATTTATTTTGCTTTGCTGGTGTTTTTTTATAACATCAAGTAATGGAACGAACGAGTCGTGCGCTTGATGGTAAACTTCACGTCTGTCCATATCCGTTACAATGCCACTCAGAGCTTTAAATTGTTGAGACGTAAGTTGACAAGTTCCATGTGCCTGTAATTTCACCAGCATCCTTAACCTTCAAAACCGGAACACAGTAATGCTGACATTACTGCTTGGCGGCAGAAATAGGCAGCACTACCCTGGACAAACTCTTTTACAAGGAGCTCTACTGCTACCAAATACTAAAAAACTGCTACTAAAAAAGTGTTATTATATACACTGCAGTAACATTTGTCTACGCTGAAGAGGTATTCTTAAAAATATTCACTAGTCTCTAGTCATATAATCACTAGTCACTTCTGTGATTCATGTTTCTGCGTCAATGTGTTTCCTTGTAAAACATAAAAAAACTAAAACGTAAACGATATTTAAAACAACAACTTACCTAAAAGACAGCGTTGTCAAAGGCCGATACGATTTATGGCTATTCGCGTCAGCCATTGGCGTTCCCCAAAAGTCATCCAGCAGCAGCTGTTTTAAGGAATTTTCCCCGGTGACGTCACCATTCGTCACAATCGCAGGTATGTCATCATGTACAAATTCTCCATTCAAACTATTCATATAACTCAACACTGCTGTCGCTGTCACCATAGAATAAATTGCAAAGTCACTAATGTAAATACTTTTTTTTTCCTCACGAACCGTCGGCAGAGAACGCCTCTTCATTTTGGCGGCTAAAATTTTGAGCATCACATTCTTACATTTGCACATTTGGTATAATCTGGAACAAAAAAGAAGGCTGTCAGAGTCGTAGACGTTTGCGTATTGTAATTTGTAGCAAGCTACGATAACGTATCACAGTGCTACGTGCGCCGTAGAGAAGTGCTACGGATGCAACATTAAACTTTGTTTTTAACCGACTTCAAAAAAAGAAGAAGTTCTCATTTCGACTGAATTTTTTGTGTATGTTACGCGATTGCTTCGGCATTTCTGAACCGATTTTGATGATTCTTTTTTGTTGGAAAGTTGGTATTTCAGTATTGGTCTCATTTAAATGTGAAGAAAATATTCCACCTTTAAGAGTGACAAACTAGGGGATCAATCCGGTTTCGCGCACTTTCCGGTAATCGATTTCAATGTAACTTCGCAAAAAGATGTAATTACTCGAACTTGTGAGGTCTTTTTTTTATTAAAAAAGTGTAATTTTTTTTTATTTACTATAAACATAACAAAATTTACATAGTTATAATAATTGTACAGTGCCCCAAAAACCAGTTCAAGTTTTACCGTACACTGCCACTCGTCATCTAATACAAATACACATTACATTTAACTTAAGTGTAGTTACAAAGTAATCTAAGGTATTAGCTCAGCAAACACTGTTAATTTAATTGTAGGGTAAAATACAATGATAGTATTCAATGCTACCTGCCCTGGCCGATCGACACGCCGAGAGATTATGAGTGCCTGTATTATGGCTAAATTATGCAGACATACGGGCGGATTTCTTACACTTGATTCAACAGTACAATGTTTTATGTCATGTATTTTATAGCCGACCTTTGGACCTGTCTACAGTGAGGGTACTATTGGCTATAAAAAGACCAGTATGCCTGAAACCCAATATCTAATTAGTCCAACGAGGTTGCGTGATCGTTTGAAATTTTAAAAGGGAAATATAACGTAAAATTTTGATTATTATAAGGGAACGACCTAAAAATATATACAGGTTGTAATCGTTAAGTATGTCCAGGTGATTATTCTGTAAATATAAGGAATATCAAAAATCTTTGAATATATATTGAACGCACTTTACCTAATAAGTAATACGTCATTAATAGGTAACTTTGAAATTTAACATAAAATTTTTTTATGACACAAAGTGACAAAACGAACATGTTGTGTGGCTGGTGTTAACCGATACGCCTGTCCATAGCAGTTGCAGTGCCACTTAAAGCGTTAAATTGCAAAAATCTGAGGGACACTGCCACTGCGCCTGTTACCTTGTTGACAAGTCCCATATGTCTGTTGTTTCAGCAGCACCTTTAACACACACATTAATGCTCACATTACTGTTTGGCGGCAAAAATAGGTAAGAGGTCAAATCGCTCTAAAGTTATTGTAAAACTTAGGATTCATTCATTGTGGTTACCTTAATCACATGTCATAATTTCTTATCAACCAATAATGATTTTCAAGTAGTTACACGTGTTGATTGATTATTTTACCATTTGAAATGAATACCAATTAAAGTATTTATTCCATTATCTATTGAAACTACAATAAATTGCACTGGCTACAAAGCAACATACAAGTACAACTAAAAAACATACTTTTTAAAGTTCGTTCAAAATTCAAAATAATTATCGCTTTTTTCCATTCCTGCCACTGTTTAAAATTTGCGTTAAAAACGTACGTGATTGTGAAAAAATGGCATATTCTAATTGGGAGAAAAAGGATACATCGAAACTTTGTTACAACAATTATTCTAACGGTACAGCGGCCATTATCGCCTACTGAAGGGAGACCTCATTATATACAAGCTCCTTCTTGTAAGTACTTGCTGCAAAGTAAGTATATGGTCTAGTTTTATTTTCCAAAAGTTATTGATGACGCTTAATAATTAAGTGACGTACTTTCGATGTCAGTTTAAAGTAAAGGTTTTTGATATCTTTTATATTTATGAAATAATCGCAAAAGCACACTTAACAATTACACCCTCTGTATCAAATATCTAATTTCGGAAATATCGTTATTAATTAATGAAATTCCGTTAATATAATTTTTTCCCAAAGGAATTTTACTGAAATTAAAATTTTTAACAAAAAATTGTTATCGGAATTTTCATGAAAGTTTTAAACGTTTTTCATACTTGCGAGAGCAGGTTATGCTTTTAAAATTTATTTAAAAAATTTGAAATAAGAGACTGAAATTGCAGGCATTGTAATTAAAATTTATGCATGAAATAACATGTAATTCCGAAAAATTTACCGCTAGGGTATTTCATCACCAATTATACTATGGTTACAGTTTTTTTAAGTAAAGAGAAAGAGGTTTTCTTGCTTTTTTAAGCGTTTTTCCATGTATTAATCAGGTATTAGTAACATTATTGGCTGTTGAAACACAGCTGTTCTTCACTCCACTTTGTTAAATAACGGGCCTTAAGTAGAGGGCTTGTAAGAAATGGTAAGAACTAACTCTTGTAAATAGTATTAGTGACTTTTTAGGGTACCATACAAAAAATATAAGGCGGTCCTCTCTAATTATTGGCAACACAGTATATTTTATATAGTTATTATTTTATATTGTTATTATTTATATAGTTTATATTTTTTATAGTTTTAATTTTTCAAGGTGGAATGGGTCGGTTCTATGTATTCACACGTTAGATGGATAAAACTTTCATACCTTTCCACAAGCACACATAGGAATATGAAATAATAAAAGAAGAAAAAACGTACACGAAACCGAAAATAAAATTTAAAACATCTTGTAGCAGAACTAATTGGGGCATCCATTCTCCTATGAACAGAATCAGGGAGCCTACTATGAACTCTTAGAGCAATCCTATTTAAGCCTGTAAGTTGGATTACCTGTCAAATTCGTACTATGACCACACAAAAACAATTCACTGTCCATGCAGTTTTTTTTATAAAAAATAAGTGCGCATTTAACCTCCATCTGACCTGATGGAAAGTGACGATGAGGTCGAGGATGTAGCATGCACACCTAAATAATGCCTATTCAATCTCGCATTGAAAAGGTCCAAGTTATAGCGTTCGGGGAACAAGTCTGCAGGCAGGGAATTCCACTCC